GGGGGGGGGGGGGGGGGGGAAGGGAAGGAGGGCCATCCAGCCGCTGCCTGCTTACCCAGGGGTGCCCCGTATCGGGCTGCGGCGCTTTGGCCAAAATCCAGCGGCTTGACCCCTTGCCAGTTACCCCTTCGAAGGGGTCCGTGATGGAAGGGTCCATGCCCTCAAGGGAGCCACATACTGCACCTCCACCTTCTGGGCTTGGAGCCCCGCCCTTCCCACCCCCCACTCATGGAAGGTTCCCTGCCGGTGAGGTCAATACCTGGAGCTCTGTGATGCTCCTGCGGGGGTGTGGCCGGAGCCCTGCCCATCCCCAAGGGCCACGCCCCATCACCTTGGAAGTGCCGCATGGACTCCGTGGCGCTCCTGGTGGTGTGCCTGCTCTTGTTGCAAGGGAGCGGGGCTCGCGCACAAGGTGTGGGGGGGGGAGGCATATCGGAGAGGGGTCCCACGGGCAGAAGCGGCTGGGGAAGCACCCCCGCTCCCCCCGTCGGTCACAGCACGATGAGGGCCCTCCCGAGGCTGCCCGGTGCCCCCCAGGCCTTCACACAGCCCCCCCCGGGCAGACAGGGCCCAGCAGGTGGACCTCAAGGGGCCCCTGAGCCCCTAAACTGGGGCTGCCCAGCCCAACCTGCCTTCACGGGTCTCCAGGGCACCCCTGCCCCAAAATTGGGGTCTCTTTGCGACAGACTTCCGGGAGTCCCGGTCCCCCCTGACCGGAGTGGAACGAGCGACCGCATGGGCCGCCTTAACCCGATGCCCGTTTTGTGTCTCTCTCTCAGGCTGCGGCTACCGTCCAGATTTCGATGCGCCCCACGCCTCCGTCTTGGGCAATGCCCGCATCGTGGGCGGCGCCAAGGCGCGGGCTGGAAAATGGCCCTGGGTGGTCAGCCTTCAGACCAGCTCCTACCACTTCTGCGGGGGGAGCATCGTCCACCCCTGGTGGGTCCTGTCCGCCGCTCACTGCTTCGCCGACAGGAGGTGAGCGGGCGAGGCTGGGCAGCAGGGAAGAGGCCTGGCACACGGGGCGGGGGGAGGGGGACGCGCAGCCGTCTTTCCCTGGCAGCCGCCCTTGCCAGCCTTCGATGCCCAGCCGCTCCTGGGCCTCTTTGTTGCCAGGTAGGAGGGGGGGGGTCCGGCTGGCGCTCTTCGCCTCCTCCTCCTCCTGCGAAAACCCCCTCCCCCCGTTGGCTCCTTCGATCCCCGCAATCCCCTTCCAGGGATGGCATCCGGGTGGCGGCCGGAAGCACCCACCTGGGCCTCAACAACGTCACCCGCTGGGTCCGGAAGATCCACCTGCACCCGCTCTACAACCCCAGGACTTACGACAACGACCTGGCGCTGCTCCTCCTTCAGAAGCCCATCCCCCACAGCTGGTTCCACACCGCCCTCTGCCTGCCGGACCACACCATCGTCCCCGACGACAACATGTGGGAGAGCTGCTTTGTGGCCGGCTGGGGACTCACCAAAGCCGGTGAGACTGGCCCTCCCCTCCCCTTCCCCCCCCCCCCCCCAGCAGGAACCCCCAGGACCCCGCCCCTTTGCCCAGGTACGCCCCGCCAGGAGTGAAGGCGGAGGGCCCTGGAGCAGACCTGACCCGTCCGCGGCTAAGGAGGAGTGCGGGGCTTCCAAGTAAGACGGGTCACACCTGGACGGGTCACACCTGGATGGGTCACACCCGGACGGGTCACACCTGGACGGGTCACACCTGGATGTTTCACACCCGGATGGGTCACACCCGGACGGGTCACACCCGGACAGATCACACCTGGACGTTTCACACCCGGACGGGTCACACCTGGACAGGTCACACCCGGGCGGGTCACACCTGAATGGGTCACACCTGGATGGCTCACACCTGGACGCTCCTGCCCCAGAGAGGAGCTGCCTGTGTGGGCCCCGGAGAAGGAGGGGAGGGAGTCCCTCCCCCGGAACCACGGGGGAGGGGGGTGGCACCCAGGGTCATCTAGCCCAACCCGCCGCTCCCCAGAGCCCCCCAGACAGGTGGGACCGCCAGGGATGGGGGGGAAGGCTCCCTTTTGACGGGACGTCCCGCCACCCTCCGGCCGGCGAGGCGGCCGGTCTCCACCCCGCTGCCCTGGGTTCAGCCTCCCTCTCTCTGGTTCTGCTCTGGCGCCATCGGGAGACGGGACACCCACCCTCCACCGCCGGAAGGCACCCCGAGCGACAGGCCCCCCTCGTCCTCGTAACCCTCCCGCTGGCCTGGCACGGGGGGGGGGGCGAAGGGCCCATGAAGAGCCATGCCGGGCCACGTTTTTCCTTCTACCATGGGGGGGGGGGTTTCCCCCTCCTTCTCCTTCCCCGAAAGCGAAACGGGGGCTCCCCCAAACTGGCTCCGCTCGGCTCGGCCCAAAGGCAGGTCCGTTATTCGAAACGCCCCCCCCCCCCCCCCCCGGTCCCCGTGCCTTTTAGCCGGGGGGGCCCCATAAGGTGCCCCACGGCGCTCCTCCGAGCCCCCCTTGGGGGGGGGGTGGGGGGAGACTCTCAGGGTGGGGGTGGGGGGTCTGAAAGATAAGCCACTTCCCCTCCCCCCCCTCGCTCCCCCTCCCCCCCTCTAGGCTCAGACACCGGATCCCTCGCCTTGCTGGACATCCAGGTGGGGCTGGTGGATTGGACCCTGTGCCTGCGGTGGCTCCACACCCTCACCAGGAACATGGTGTGCGCTGGATACGAGGAGGGGGGCCGGGATGCCTGCCAGGTAGGAGACCCCGCCCCACCCCCCCCCCCCCCCCCCCCCCCCCCCAATGCCATGGGACCGGCCTCAGGGGGGAAGCACCGGCCGCCGCAGCCGCAGCAGCTCACAGGGGTCTTTGCGAGCGGGGAGTGAGAGCGGGTCAGGATCCTTGCCAGGGGGATCCACCATTATTAACCCTTTTGTATTCTCTCTATAACTTCTCCCATCTTTTCACTCCCTTAATTATATTTTATTTATTTCATCTTATTTCAAAGTCATTATACTTATATCTTTTGTCCGTTCTTTACCAAACATCTATGTATCTCTTCCCTTTAACAAAAAATCTCCCCTGTAATCGCTTTTGAAGTATGACGCCTTCTCCTAAAATAAAGCTTAAAATAATACATAATTTCCATCCTGATTCTGGTTAGTACATTCTACATATTAAATCTTAAAATAAAAGAATAGTAAACTTAGAGTATAATTAAATATATAATTTCTATTCTAATTCTAATTCTAATAAGGACATTGTTTTACGATAGAAAAAATAAAATACTAAAGTTATAATAACATTAAAACACTAACAAATTGAACTTTTAACTAAGCATTAATCATTTAACACAGTCTCCTAATATTTAATCAAATATCCACATCCATCATTATTAAACATTAATATTTCATTAAATATTCCAATAAACTGTTTCAAAGGCAAATACTACAATACTATCTTATGCACTCTTGCAGAATCTTCTTTAATTATAAACTATC